CTTAAAAGCATTTTTTTATTACACTTGCCTTGAAAGATGAAATGCTTCAAGAATCATTCCAATTTAATTTAAACCAAACCCATAAAATTGTAATCATTTCCTCCCTGCAAAATGTGAGCAAAAACGCTTGTTTGATCTCTAAATCGTACCCATCATCCTTGGATTCCAAACTACCACATCTTTACAAAAGTTCTCATCAAATTTTCCACAGAAGATAGATAATGTCCTGCTGGCTAAATAATAAGCCATAATAACAGACGTGGAAATGGGCAGATAAGCAAGATAATCAACCTTCAATGCCAGGACATGAAACTTCACAGCTTTCTTACACTAGGTCTCACTTTACATAACTCTGCAAGATCAATAACATTAAAAAAAAAAAAAAAAAAATCAATAGCTCAAGGACCTAGAGTTCTTTGAGGCATTCCCTCCCACTTGTGAAAAACTCGACCCCGAGTTAACATCTGGATATAATGGAACATCATCATGAAACTCATACAAATCAGCCAGGTTGAATGTCTTTGAAATGTTCATGTCACTCGGAAGATCAACTACATTGACATTGTCATTAATTTTTCTGAGTATCTTGTAAGGACCATACTTTCTTGGCTTAATCTTACTGAATGTCCCAATAGAAAGCCTTTCTTTCCATAGAAAAATCATCACATGATCTCCCTCCTTGAACAACTTCTGGCGCCTTTTCATATCAGCAACTTGTTTGTATTGATCGTTCTTTGCCTCAAGCCTAGCTTTGACTTCAGCTTGCACATCATGTACTTAGAATCTCTTCAAACGAACCACTTCACGAAAAAGTAATTGTGCCACATGTGATGCATCAGAGGTCTTCTTACAAGGGATTAAATGGCCCATCTTTGAGAACCTGTCAACCACGACAAAAACAGAGTCGACCCACGGGGAAGTCCCAAGACAAAATCCATAGCGAGGTCCTCCCAGATACTGTTTGGAACTGGCAGAGTCATCCATAGACCGGTGTTTTGTGCTTGTCCCTTTGCTGTTTGGCAGACATAGCACTTACAAACGAATTTTCCCACATCTCGCTTTAACTGTGACCAGTAAAACCTTGATTCCACCCCGTGTATTAGGCCCTAAGTGATTGCTTAATCCATCACTATGTAGGTCTCTGATCAGCTTTTCCCTCAAAGAGCTCTTAGGAATACATAATTGATTACCTCTAAAAAGAAATCCATCAGTAACATGATCGCTTCATCACACACTGTTTCCATAAGTCGCTAAAATCATCATCATCATCATCATCAACATATAGCTCTTTTAGAAACTCAAAGCCCACAACCTCTTGTTGCATAATTACAAGTATTTGAGCTCTACGACTTAGTGCATCAGCCACCTTATTTAACACCCCTGGTTTGTGGTCAAGAACAAATGGAAATCTTTGAATGTAATTCGACCATCTCACGTGCATGTTACTAAGGTACTTCTGGTGGTTTAAGTTTTTTAAAGCTTGATGGTCAGAATGTAACAGGAATTGTTTATGAACAAGGTAATGTTCCCAATGTTTTAATGCTCTAAAAACTGCATAAAATTCTTGTTCATAAGTACTCCATTTTTGGCGTGCATCACTAAGTTTTTCACTGAGATAAAACAGCCCCAATATCAACTCCACTAGCATCGCATTCTAGTTCAAACAACTTACGAAATTCGCCAATGCTAAAACAGGGGTGGTGCATAACTTCTCCTTAATTTGTGAAAATGCAGCCTTTGCCTCATTGCCCCATTGAAATTTCCCTTTCTTCAAACATTCAGTGATGGGTGCAACTATGCTGCTGAAATTTTTAATGAATCTTCTATAGAATGTCGCTAATACATGGAAACTTCTAACTTCCGAGATTGTTTTAGGTGTAGGACACTCTTTGATTGCTTTGATTTTGTCATTATCAACTAGAATACCTTCAGCACTTATAACATAACGCAAAAATATTAACCTTTCAGTCACCCACTCACACTTCTTTATGTTAATATACAACTTATTTTTGTTCAAAACCTCAAACACGCTTCTCAAATGCCCAACATGATCATTTTCACAATGACTATATATCAAAATGTCATCGAGGCAAATTTACCAATAAAGGGGTGTAATACGTGGTTCATCATTCTCATAAAAGTACTTGGGGCATTGCACAATCCAAACCGCATCACCATCCACTCGTATAATACGTCTTTAGTTTTGAAGGCCGTTTCCATTCATCTCCGGGTCTTACTCGAATCTGGTGGTACCTGCTTCGCAAGTGTACTTTTGAAAATAGTTTGGAACCCTCCAACATGTCTAACATATCATTTAATCTTTGAGAATGGTTGATTGTAATAATTGTTAAAAATATGTTAGAGTTCGATTGTCAAACCACCTCAAATCCTTATGTGTTAAGACGTATTGTATGTAATTTTTTTGTCTATAAAGTGTACTAAATACATAATACTCATAATTACATTTCGAATATCTCAATTTTCCCAACAAGCTGTATATCGCTAAAGATCGAAACAAAAAACACAAAAACTAATATTATTTATTGCGTTAAGAATAAATTTTTTTGCATCGAGTATACTTACGACAAGTTTTCGATCAAATTGGATAGGTTATACTCTCAGGACTTCGTGGATATAAAGAAGGTCAAAAAGAGAGATCATGTGCAAAAGATATGTCCATTTTAATAAACCAAATCAGTATAACACCGTTATTTCCTAATGTTGAAAATCGAGTGGATCCGTTAAAGTACTTACACATCTCATATGGAAATTACGAGAACGTTTTTGAACTCAAACTTAGGTATACTATTTGATTTCATATTCACAATATTTTTAACTCGAATAATTATCAAATTTGCGAAAACTGATGAATCGAGATGTTTTAGAGTCGAAACGTTAATCATCTTTCCCCGGAATTCTACATATCAAAATTAAGATCCATTCAAGTTTTTGAAATTAACACATTCAAGACAGCCATTCGCCACTTTTGGAAAATTTATAAGATGTCGGAATCTTGGCCCACAAATCAAGAAAGTTAGAGAATGTCGCCACTTTGATGTCATAAGTATGACATCACCTTCAAGTACTCTAATACATGCATACTTAAGACTTAATTCACAGCCATGATACAAAGACTTCCATGCACCTAAGACTGAAATTATATATATATATATATATATATATATATATATATATATATATATATATATATATATATATGGGAAAATGCCTTAAAAGACCAATTAAGTTTCAAAAACGTTCATATTACCCCAATTACGTTTTTGTTGTTCAAAAAAAACCAACGAACTTATGTTTTTTATTATAAATCCAAATAAAGTTACGAATATAAATAACATTTTTTAATGGTGACCGGCATGTTGCAGGTAAACGATGAGTTGGCATATGTGTTGTTGAGTTGGCATATGGTTGGCTACGTGGCATTTGTGTTAGATAGATATAGGGCATAATGGGGGATACGACTCCTTAATCAATCGACTTCTTCAATCGACTTCTTCAACATGGCTTCGGGGGATACGACTCCTTAATCAATCGACTTCTTCAATCGACTTCTTCAACATGGCTTCTTCGTCTCGATCCTCCAACTCATGGTCAAGATCAAAAATTTCCATGTCAAAAAGCACAATTGATAAGGCACATCCTTGTGATTGTGGGTTTCCTTCTCGCATCTGGATATCAACAACAAAGGCAAATTCTGGTAAAAAATTTAGGGTTTACCCTAACTCTTTGGTAAGTATATATCTAAAAGCTTGTTCTTGTTTGGGTCCCTTTTTGTTTTTCATGCTACAATATTGTTTGTTTATGTTATAATTGAAGATGAAGGATCCAAAGGATAAATGTGATTTCTGGGAATGGGTTGATGATGATGAAGAAATTATAACCAAGAACGAGAATAAGAAAGATGAAGAACATGATTTCAATACTGAAGTGAAGATTGCAATATTGGAACATGATTTCAGTGAGTATAAGATGAAGATTGATAAGGAATGTAAGAGTTTTAGAAAGGAATTGGATAAAATGAAATGTTTAGTGTTGATGTTTGTTGTTTTGTTTGTAGTGAAGTACATGATTTAGTGTTAAGTTTATTATGTAAGGAAAATGTACTTTGAAATTATCAGGATATGTATATTCAAAGTGGTTGCATTGTACTCATGTAAAATGGTTACGAAGTGGGAATGAAAAGAAGGTATTTGTGAAGACTGATACACATAGAAGGTGTTTATGAAGGCTAATAGTCCATAAAAGTAACATACTTTTTATTGATTGATAATAGGAAGGGCAAAATAGTCCATAAAACCTGTGCACTTTATCAAATGATAATAACAAGGACAAAATAGTTCATAAAACATGTGTTTGACATTATGCATGTAATTTGTGTTGTAAATGATTTTTAAACACAAGGGCAGTTTTATTGAAAACACACATAATAGCAACATACTTTTTATTGATTGAAAATAGCAAGGGCAAAATAGTCCATAATAAGATTACACTTTATCAAATGATAATAGGAAGGGCAAAATAGTCCATAAAACCTGTGTTTGACATTATGCATGTAATTTGTGTTGTAAATGGTTTTTAAACACAAGGGCAATTTTATTGACAAAATAGTCCCACAAAACAGTTTTTACCAATTTTAACATAGTTTTAACAAATAGGGGCAAAATGGTACATTGTTATAATATGAATAAAAGGTAATAAACTACATATGAAAGCATAATTAAACCACATAATCAAGCATGTGCACATGGCACTAAATGTTGGTAAATGTGCACAACACCAAAAGATAAGCCTAAGCATGAAAAAGACAAGCCTAAGCACCAAAAGATGTGCACTAAGCACCAAAAGATGTGCCATTTCAAAATATCTGACATAATCCTAATAGAACACACTTATCCTAGTTTATAGTAACTGGATTTTCAGTACTTTCCCCACTTCCATCTTTTGTTACCACCTTCTTCCTTAACTTCAGTTTCGTGATCCTCTCAGAAGGTAATCGCCTTTTGTTCGCAACAAAATGCTGAAAAAACAGGTTGATGCTGATGGTGATGATTTTCTTGATGGTCAATCTCATCCTCTTGTTGTTCAATTTCATCCTCCTGGTGGTCTTCAATATCGCCTTCTTCAACAGCCTCTTCTTCACCAATTCCAACTTCACTAACCCCATCTTGACTAATCCCTTCTTCAACATCCCCTTCACTAACAGTTGCTTTATTTGCTGCATTGTTAAAACAAAAATAATAATTATTATACAAATGTAGATGAATGAATAATCAAAATAAAAACGAACCTTCTTTGAGCAATGGACATCGCCTCTTGTTGTGTCCTTCTTGATGACAATTACTACATCTTGAGATGGACATCCCTGTCTTGTTAATTTTATGCTTTCCTTCATTTTCTATAGGACATTTCATTCTGTTTACTTTGGGCCTTCCTGGCATTCTCCTACGCCGAGGTGGTAATATGGGATCAAATAGAACATCAGGCCACATGTTAGCTCCATTTATTGGTTTGACTGGATACCTATAGCAACTTCCAAACATTTGTTTTAAAACCATACGGCTACATAGTCCTCTGCATTTCCCATTCAGGTATAATATAGCAGCAAGGCATGCACACAAGGATACCACTGAGTTGCCAGGCTCTGCAGCCACAAGTTTTGCTTTCAAGGTGAACAGCATAAACTTCATGGGCTAATTTCACTTCATATTCTTCCTCGCCACTTGGAATAACATCCCAGTTACCTGAAATCATATTAAGAAGGTAAGTTATTTTCATATTAAATCACTTACAATTAAATAATATACCTTTGTTCTTCTTTCATCTTCTTCAATCCTCTTTTAA